ACTATCTTTGGTCTTGGAAAGAAGGGAAGGTTACATGTGGAACCACCAGTGTCTAAGCTCATTCCTTACTCTCCAGCCTACAAGATCATTAAAACCTAAGTTTTGTTTATTCAATTGCCACAAGCCTGAATTGAGACTTATTCACTTTCTCCTGGAAGCTTTTCCTGACCCCAAAAGAGGTTCGCTACCTCCTCATATGCTCTCATAGCTTGTGCTTTAAGGTGAGTACTGGTTTAACTGTTATCTCTGCTAGAATGTAAACTCTAACAGGTTCGGGATTAGGTCAGTCTTGTTCACCACTATATCCCCAGAATTTAGCACAGTGCTAGGAATTCAGTAAGTACTAGAAGGCCTCACTCATTCTGAACCCTTATGAAGCATTTGATATTCCAGAAAGCCTTCCACTCTCCCTTCCTGAAGGCTTCCCTCTCTCACTGTGGGAGCTCTCTCTGCTTGTGCCCCTCCCACCACTCTCACTGCTCTTCCAGTGCTTCTTTCCCTCTGCTTTGCCTTTATGCTCTCCCCCTACATTCCATCCTAGTCCATGTTCTTCCTGCCAACACATGGTAGGCACTGGATGAATAAGGGCTGAATGGATGAATGAAAGAATGTTATGCTTCAGAGTCTCCTTGGGAAAAGTGTATGCATCTCCATAGCTTCAATAATTGTGTTAAACTGATGAGGTCAAAATATCTATCTCTATACTACATTTCTCACCTGGGCAACAAACCTATATCTCTAAGAGCACCCTTACGCCAATTATGTTCACAATGAAACTTAGGATGTCCAATTAAACACTGCAGATTAATCACACACAATTATCTCCTCTCCCTCCCTGAGCTCTGCTAAGATGATGGCAAAGGAATTTTTTTTTTAAGAAAAAAGGTACAAATCCATAACAACAAAGAGAAGAGAAATACAATGGTTAATAAAAAATTCTAACAAATTTTTGGATGGTGGAAAGTGGATGGCAGAGATGTAACAGTATAAGAGTACTGGCGTTAGGACAATATGGATGTAGTATTCTTTCTTTCTCATCTTTAAGGGTATTAATTATAGCTGCAATTTTTTTTTTTTTTGTCTTTCTTAATTGGCTCTTTTTCCTCTGGGTGCCTGTTTTCTCTTCTCTTTTATTATTTAAAAAAACACAACTGATTTAGCCTGCAAATCCCTGGAAGGGCTCAGGTTCAGTATATAGAGACCTCGGGTACCAAGAAGAACAGAGCTTAGGCACTAACTAGCCAGACCTGAAACACAGGAAAAGTGACAGTTTATGACATAATGAACTACGATGTAGAGAACTACCTTCCCAGATCCTACTCAGGAATACTGGCAGGTAGGCTTATGCTTCCCCAGATGATTAGAAGATCCTTCTCTGAGAAACTGAAAGCCTAAGGGGTAAAGACTTCCACATATTTGGAAGTCTGCCCACAACAGAAAATCCACATCAACGAGCCTTACCTGTTCCCACGTAGCTTGTATTCAGCCTTTTAATGCCTTACTTTTCAATAGGAACAGACAGGATTCATATTATGCGTATAAATATCAGACAGGGATTAACAAACATTTGAAGGAAACCTCTAATGAAACTCAGAAAAAGAGAAAATGAAGAGAAAAAGGCATCTGGAGGAAAATAGAGCCAATTAAGAAAAAGAAAAAAATTGCAATTAATGTCCTTAGAGATGAGAAAAGATATTATATCCATAAAATAAGTATAGGATGCTATGGAAAAAGTATAAAAAGAAAATAATGCTTGAGATTTAAAATATCTATAAAAGAATTATTCAAGAATTAGAAAGTATTGGTCAGGTGCACTGGCTCACACTTGTAATCCAAGCACTCTGAGAGGCCAAGGCAGGAGGATCTCATGAGGTCAGGAGTTCGAGACTAGACTGAGCAAGAGCAAGACCCCATCTCTACTAAAAATAGAAAAAATTAGCCGGGCATAGTGGCACACGCCTGTAGTCCCAGCTACTGGGGAGGCTGAGGCAGAAGGATCACTTGAGCCCAGGAGTCTGAGGTTGCAGTGAGCCATGATGATGCCAATGTACACTAGCCAGGGTGACAGAGACTCTGTCTCAAAGAAAGAAAGAATTAGAAAATATCAAAGAAATTTCATAGAAAGTAATCTTCCCTAACTAGGGTAGGAGGTAAAAAAGAAGGTAAACTTGACCTTTAATCTCATGGATCCTAATCCATATTCTCTGATTTACTAGATATAAAAGCAACATAACCTCTGTGCCTCAGTTTCCTCAACTATAAAATGAAGACAGTAAAAGTAACTATCTCATAGGATTGTCATGAGAATTAAAATACTTAGCACATATAAAAGCATAAAAATGGCAGGCATATAGAAATTCAATACTTGTTTGCTATTGTCAAAGTCAAATATGACTTTCCTTCATCTTATGAAACCCAATAATGAAGGCTCTTTCCTTCTCTTGTCTCTCAAGCAGCACTGGACAGAGTTCATGATTCATCAGTACTCATGGCTTCTGTAACATCATACTCTATTGGGCTTCCTTCTACTTCACTAGTTGCTTGTTTTTAGGATTCTTGCTGGATGCTTAATATCTAAATATTAGAATATTTAGTCCTCTCTTTTTACTATCCAAACCTTTCCTAGGTAACTTAATCAAGTTCTATGCTTTTAAATACCACTCATGTATGTGCTAATGTGCTTCAAATTTATATCTCCAGGGTTGGGCGTGGTGGCTCACACTTGTAATCCCAGCACTTTTCAAGGTTTAGGCAGAGGATTACTTGAGGCCAGGAGTTCAAGATCAGCCTGAGCAACATAGTGAGACTCAGTCTCTACAAAAAAATTAAAAAATTAGCCAGCCATGGTGGTGCATACCTATAGTCCCAGCCACTTGGGAGCCTGAGGTAGGAGGATCTCTTGAGCCCAGGAGTTTGAGGCTGCTGTGAGTTATGATGATACCACTGCACTCTAACCTGGACTACAGAGTGAGATCCTACCTTAAAAACAATCGATCAAAACCTATGTGCACATATGGTAGCAAAACTCAACGGAAACCAAGTAGGTGGGAAGGGGGAGAAGGGGATGGGTAAATTTACACCTAATGGGTACAATGCAACTACCGTGGTGATGGATACACTTATAACTTTTACTCAAACTGCACAAAAACATGTAATTAAATAATTTGTATGCCTGTAATATTCTGAAATTAAAAAAAAAATTGTATCACCAATCCTGGCTCTCCCCTGAGTCTGAGACACACATAAGCTATCATGATTTCTTTGCTAATACTGCAAAATCCTCCCAGTGAGTCTCCCTGGTTCCACTCTTTGACCCCAACAGGCCAATTTCCTCACAGCAACAAGAGTAATTGCAAAGTAACCAGATCTTAACAATTCTCTGCTTAAAATATTCCAGAGGCTTCCCATTATAATTAGAATAAAACTCATACTACTGAACTCTAGATATATATAATATTAATATATAATAATATAATAGTAACATTTGAATGACTGAAAAGTCTTATTAGGGTTATAATTACAGCTATAAATTAATCTACTCTGTGAAATTAGTTTATTAAATATAGCAACTATATCTAAAACCTCAAGGAATTCAGGCACATGTACACACGTATGTTTTTTACATGGAGGATTATTGCTACCCTGGAAAATTCTCCCTTCTCTCTGAATTTCCTTAAGTAGACTGACCATCTGGAAGTTTGACTGGTTCTAAGTATGGGCAGGCCTCTAAACCTCAGCCATATTTTGACCCAATAAACCCTACTGACTCCTAATAATCTATTCTCTGCTTAGAGTTAATTCTCCTGGATTTCTGATGACATGAATACCCTTGAAAGATTCTGTTGTTTCTTTGTGTTGACAAACACCACTGTGCATGACCAGGAACTTGGCACATGACCCACCTTATCTAACAGCAACAAGTAATATATCCTAAATGGGAATCACTTTTAAATGAGCTCACTGATCTTTATATTGTCACAATAAATTTTCATTTCTTGACCATCCCCTAAAATAAGATATAGACTTTAAAAACACTTTTAACAAAAAGTGCTAAATGCTATTTTGGTAATCATTTGAACTACTATCCTTAAAATGTATTTATTAATAAGACCTATAATTTCCATCTCAATAAAATATCATTTAACATTTTTAATATTAAAATATAATACACTGATAATCCTAATTTCAAAACTAGCAACCTAATTACAATTAATGTAGAAGTATTTTTATGAAGTGACCAAAACAGTAGTGTCTCAAGAATACTTTGTAAGATCTAGAGTATAAAACAATGTTTTTAAATTTGCCTTTAAAAATCCCAACCCTCCTTTCTTTATTGCAAAACACGCCTCCAGTTAGGTAATTTTAAAATATCTATACAGGAAAAAATATAACAAAAGCCATCAACAAAGACTGTTTTTGATAACTCTAGGATTCTAACCCATTTAAGATTCTTCTAGGAGTTACCGTGTTTCCCCGAAAATAAGAGAGGGTCTTATATTTATTTTTCCTCAAGAAGACCCCCTAGGGCTAATTTTCAGGGGATGTATTATGTTTTTTAAGTACGGTATAACAATTTACATTTATTCAAATACAGTTAAGTCATCTTCTTCTGGAACATCATCATAACTCTCCAAACCCCGAATTCCATCCTGAATTTCTTGCGACTCTATTTCCTTTAGAACCATTAGCCCCAATCTCTCATGTCAAGCAATAGAGCTCTCATTGGGCAGATGAGAAGGGCTGCTCATCTTTACCGCTCCACGACGAAATGCTTGGGTTGTATAGATACACTGCGTAGCCATGCCCATCACTAGGTCTTATTTTTGGGTTAGGGCTTATATTGTGCAAATGCTTAGAAATCCTGCTAGGGCTTATTTTATGGGTAGGTCTTATTTTCGGGGAAACACAGTATCTCAGGCATGCAGTTTAGAAATGCTTATTTGAACAAATTAATCTTTTTAAGTTAATAAAGATAAACTAATAACAGAGTATGAAAGAACACAGGAAAAATTGTTGGTTTTATTATAGTTTTAATACAAGCTAAATACAAACACAATTGTTACAAATTCAGTCACTTATTCTGCAAAACAATATGCCAAGATTAACTTTGAAAGGTTAAAAAAAACCAAAAAGTAGAAATATCTTCCTCAGTTAACTCTAAGGACTCCATAAACAAATGCAAAAATTAGTACCTGTCAATAATCACATTGAATACTGAGTCACTGATTGAACGATAAAAAATAATTTCTGATTTTAAAATTAAATAGCTCCAAATAAAAACATGCTATTTCCCACATATGCTATCTTTGTATTTTACACAGAGTTCCAAGGCAGAGATTGCTTCTGGCTTTATGAATTACCAGAGATGATGATTTGTGTGGCTGACTTATCACAGGTCTTTTACTCTTTTTTCCTGATAGTTCCTTAGCTTCTTTGGGAGGGGGCATATGAACTGGTTTCCACGGAATTGGATTATAAAAGGCTGGTTCTGGATAGGAATTTCCACTGTAAAAACCTAAAATTATTGAAAAATCAGAACAAAATATGAAAAAAAACTTCTTGAGATCAAAGAAACCACTTAATTTTTAAATTCTTAGAAAAATGATAAAATGTCAAATGGAAAAATATCACTGACAAACCAATTTGACTCACTTAAAACTTGAACTCTTGAATATTTTCAAAGAAAAAACACTTTCTAAACACTGTAAATATTACAGTAAAAATTAAAGCATAAATGATAATTCTAAGAATTCAAATAATGTTAATGTTAAAACCTATATAAACTCTTAGAAAAATTTTACTAAGAGATTAATTTTAGAACTCTTAAATTGAACAAAATCTTCATTTTCTTAACCCAGTCTAAGAAACTACTGATTGTGTCCTGGCTTCCCCTTTTCAGACACTAAAGTTTACAGAAAAAAAATTTTTCATATGTAGCTAATCAAGATTCTTGTTAAAATCACAAAAATTCTCAATCACTGTCACTCAAATTAATAAGATTTCACAATATTACTGTAATTTTGATTGCTCATTATGGAGCATTGTTCTACTGATGCATTTGAAGTGTTTAAAGAGCTCTGATGCCTGACGTCTAATAACCATGTGAAGTAAGAACCTTTTGCAAATCATCTCCAAATCCTTCTGTTACTAGAGGTACAGAAATTCCTTTATTTCATTAATTATAAAAATGATATAAGCATGAAGAATAGAGACTTAAGAGAAAAACAGCATTTACACACAAATATGCTGCTTGTTAGACTTAAACTCATTAAAAAATGAAAAAATTAATAAAACAACCTATTATGTTAGCAATTAACTTCTAGTCAACATGCGTATTCCCACCTACAGTTTTAACTTCACCACCCAATCATTAGGTTAAAACCACTGCTTATTATTCCTTTTCTTCAAACAAGAAACAAACAAAAAAAGCAGGCCACACGCTCAGGAGCTGGAACGGATGACCTCTGTGACATATGAGAGAGGACTAATCCCGACAGCAGGAATGTGTCTTTCAGACAGTGGCAACCCGCTTTGCATAGATATGTCAACACACACTTCACCAAGATGGTCAAAACAAAGTCTGGAATATGTTCTATTGTGTGAACAAAACAGAATAGGAGTATTTTTAATAATAAATCACTTAAACAAGTGAAGGCGGCTGTCAGCAAGGTATGACCTTCCAACATGAAGCACAAAGAAAAACATGCATTGCCATTTATAATCAGACCAAGCCTAAAGGCCAAGTGGTTTTTTCGTCTGGTTGATGTGCCGTCTAGTATTCTACTCACAGAAGTAATATGCTAAAGACATGGGAAGCTCTGCCTTAGAGAGGGTTGGAAGGAGGGGAGGCAAAATAACCCCTTAAATATATCCTGATTAAGGCTTTATCATCCAAGAAATGTAAGAGAACTTTACTTATTCCTTAATGTTAGAAATCATTACTTTAAAGCATAAGTTTGCCGTTCTGCAACTACTGCTTTTAAGAAATACATATATCTGATTTATGGAGAACGACAATAAATTTGTACTGTCTCCATAGGTACAGAGTATGTTATAATATAATCTTCCAGAAAATAGTCATTTAAAAGATAAATGATTTTTACCAATTGCTATTTCTGTCAAAAGGAAACAAAATGTATAATATTTGCTTTTGCAAACCATATTTATCTAAGCCGCATAACATAAAAACCAACCTGTAAGTTTTCCATTGGCATAACCATAGCTCTTTGCAGCTGGACGAGGTTTATTTTTTGCATTTTCCAACCATTCCTTAAACTTTTTTTCTGCTATTTCCTTTTTCTCCTGTAATTCAGCTTGCCGTTGTTTTTCTTTTTCCTTAAAATGACATGACCAAAGAATTTCCAGGGATATTCTGTAACTAAACATTCCATTCAAATTCTACTGAATGTTTTTCCCAGTAGCTTCCCATCCCAATAGCTTACTGGCCATTTGCTGAATCATATTTTTGTAATATGACTACAAAACTGAACATGATTAGAGATGTGATAGTAAGGTGTCTACCTTTGAAGAATAATAAGACACATCAAACCCACAAAGAAAAAAGTGATTTGCTGTCTTAAAAGAACAGTAATTTATAATATGGTAATAAGACTTTGCATAAAAGTATATCAAAAAATATTTAAAAGGAATAACAAGTTTTGAATCTGACTGAAGTATCAACAGGCTGATTAATATTTTTCAACCTGAAAAAACCACAAATACACATTCATTTTTGAAGCTTAAACACAGCATAATAGAATAGAGATAGCTTAATTTATTTAATGATAAGACAGTGTGAATTTTCTATTAGATACTTTTAAAAATATAGTTGGCACATATGAACACCAAAGCCATGTATTCTAAATGGTCATTTTAAGATAAATACCTTTTCTTTCTTCTTCTTCTCACATTCTTCAGCATTTTTTTTCTTTAACCATTCTTGATATTTTTCTTTTGCTTTCTCTTGCAAATGTTCTTTCTCCAGTTCCTTTGCTGCTTTTTCCTCCATTTCTTTATTAATTTTTTGTTTTCTTTCTTTTCTTTTCTTAGAAAAAGTAAGGGAATATTAATTGGAACATCTATAGTTACCCTTACCTAAGGAAGGACTGTTATATACAGTAATTTTGTAAACTTCAGTTATTTCTTAAAATAGGTAATATCATAGTGGTTTTCATAATGTGGTTTATGAAAATATATAACGTATCTACAATCAACTGTTCAATGTCAGTCTACCTGTTGGGCTGTAAGTTTCATGAGGGCAGTGACAAAGACCTTGCTCACCAACATATACTCAGAGCCTGGGATAGTGCTGAGTAAAGAGCAGGTGCTCGCTAAAGATTTGTTGACTATATTAGTGGTTAAAAATGATAATCTATCTGTTAGACTTTCCTGAATCTTAATATTTTTCAATGAATATTTAACCTTATGCTAAAATAGGAGCCACATACATATGTATTTCCTGGACTGTTTGCCAATATGAACCCTTGTATAAATCTTCACCATCAGTGAGTGACAGGACAAATGAATAAAGCCCATTAATTACTATATATAAGAGCACATTCAGGCAAATCTCTTGCTATATAATTCTTATATAAACTACAGAGTGGCAAACTAAGGCCTGAAGGTATAATGTGGACCATCAGCCACCCTGTATTTGTAAATGAAGTTTTATGGGAATGTGGCCATACTTATTTGTTTACATATTTATTGTTTATGGATGAAATATCCTTAAATATGTGATAGAATCTACCAGTGAAGCTATAACAGGCTGGAGTTTTTTTAAGTTTGGGAAAAGTTTTTTTAAGCTGGGAAAATTTTTAAGTTTGAATTGTTTTTACAGTGGAAGGCTATTCAGACACTATTTCTTCTCGAATTCGTTTTGGGAAATGACGTTTTAAGGAGTTTTGACATTTCATTTAAAATGTAGAATTTATTGGAATTGAATTGTTTTTATCTTTCTCTCATTTTGATGTGTGATCTGTAGTGACCTGCCACTCACCATCTCTATGACCTTAGGCAAATCACTTACCCTTTATGTGCCTTAGTTTCCTCTTTGTAAAATGGGACAGTAATAGTATCTACCTCATTTTGTGATTCTAAGAATTAACTGACAGTACATACATATAAAGTATGTAGAATAGTAGTAACAAGCATAGTTAGCATTCAATGACTGTTAGCTGCTATAATTGAAACTACTGTAAGAACTAGATGATGCCTTGTTTCTGAAGTCATGGAGGAGAGTCATGAATCACAGAGATTGAGCAAGATATGCTCCAAGATCCTTTTTAAATTTGTACATTTTCTGACAGTATGAAGTAGATAAAATCCAGTATTGTTCCAATGGCTATTGAGTTCTTAGCATGAAAGAATTTTTCATAGCTATTGGCTGCCCAGCAAGAAGGAAATAACAGCAACTTGGATAGCAGCTTGGATAATTACTTGGGCTTTGATTTTTAAGACCTGCCTTTCCTGCATAGCACTGGACATATATTGTATGTACCCCATGTTTGTTAGTTGGGTGTTAATTGAATGCTATCTTAAAGTATTCTACAAGATACTTTCAAGGAAAGAATTTATTTTCTTGGCTAATATTTTTTGCCTCAAGAAGGGTGATATATATGGCATTTGTATTGCATACACTTTTTATGCCTTTCAGATTAGTTTCTAAACCTTTGATAGCAATGTCATGGGTTATTTAGCATTTAGCTGTGTTGGCAGATTATCTTTTGAGTAAGAAGGAAAAAACACTGAGTTATAGTCTATGTCAGGGATCAATAATTTATTTCTGTAAAGGGCCAGTTAGTGAATATTTAAAAAAAAAAGAGAGAGAAAGAAATAATACTGTGGCATATTTTAAAAGTATCAAATCCTACATAAATTATTTTACAAAATAGAGAAAATGGGAACACATCCAAGTTCATTTTAAGAGCCCAGCATTATTCTGATATCAAAACCAGGCATGGAAATTACAAAATAATATCAGAAACAAGGTAAGATAACTTCCCTTATCACCAAAAACATGAAATACTTAGAAATACACTTAACATAAGATGTATAATACTGCTATATTTTGAAAACTAAAAAACATCACTGAGAGAAATTAAACAAAACATAAATTAAAACAAAAACTATGTTTATAGATTTAAATTTGATATTATGATAGCAATTTTCTCCAAAATGATCTATGTATTTACATTTAACACAATCCCAACAATACCAAGCAATGTTAGAGCAGGCATTATTAGGGAAATTGATAAGCTGATTCTAAATTATATATGAAAAGATACGGAGTAACTAAAATAAGTTTGAAAAAGAATAAAAAAAGTTAGAGGATTTACACTATCTGATTTCAAGAATTATAAATTCAAGAACTATAAAACTATAGTAACAAGTTAATGTGGTACTGGCATAGGATAGGAATCAATAGAACAGAACAGAGTCCAGAAACAGACCCACACATGTATGGTTAATTGATTTTAAACAAAGATGCGAAGGTAATCTAATAGGGAAAGTATCATCTTTTCGACAGTGTTGGGAGCCGGGCGCAGTGGCATGCCTACAATCCCAGCTGTTCAGGAGGCTGAGGTGAAAGGATAGCTTGAACTCAGAAGTTCGAGGCCAGCCTGGACAACATATCGAGACCTCATCTCAAAAAAATAAAATCAGTGTTGGGACAACTGTAAGTCCCATATGCCAACAAGCGAACCTTGACTCTCAATGCATATAGTATTTTAAAATTAACTCAAAATAAACACACAGGCAAAGCTAAAGTTATAAAACTTCTAGAAGAAAACTACAGAGAATAGTTTTACACCCTTGGGGGTAGGAAAATGTTTTTTAAACAGGACCCAAAATACACAGACTATTTTAAAAGATGAAATATGGAACTTCATCAAAATTTAAAACTTCTTTAAAAAGTACCATTAAGAAAAATTACATGGAAGGAAATATTTGTAATATATATATCTGACAAGGGACTTGCAGCCTAAATATATAAGGAATTCTTATATCTTAATAATAATAAGTCATACAACCCCTCCAAAAAAATGGGCAAAAAACCTAAACCATCATAAACAAAGCCAAACCAGCCAACAACATAAGAGATGGATATGTGGTTAATTAAGTGTTATGGACTGAATTGTTTCCCTCCCCCAACAAATTCCTATGTTGAAGCCCTAACCCCCAATGTGACTATATTTGGAAATAAGATCTTTAAAAAGGTAATGGAATTTAAATGAGGTCATCATGGGGGGGGAATCACAATCTAATAGGACTAATGTAGTTATAAGAGGAAGAGACACCAGGGATGTGTATGCACAGAGTAAAAGTCCTGTGATAATACCAAAAAACAGCCATCTGCAAGCCAAGGAGAGAGGCCTCAGGAGAAGCCAAACAGACACCTTCATCTTGATTTCCAGTCTCCAGAACTGTGAGAAAATAAATTTCAGTTGTTTAAACCACCCAGTCTGGTATTTTGTTATGGCAGTCTAGAAGACCTAGTACAACAAGCTTATGAAAAGATGCTAAACATCATTAGATCTCTGGGAAATAAAAGTTATACCAACAATGGCATACTACTCCCTACTCACTAGAAGGCCTTAAAATGAAAAAAACAAAAACAAAAACAAAACTGACAATATCAAGTTTGGCAAAGATGTGAAGCAATTGGAACTTTGAACGATAGCCATAGGAATGTCAAATGGTACAAGAAAAAGTTTGGCAATTTCTTATAAAGTTAAACACATATTATAGCTATATTATACATAGCTAGCAATTTAGCTCCTACCTAGGCATTTACTCAAGAGAAATGAAAACAAATGTCCACAAAAAGACTTGTAAATGAGTGGTCATAGTTTTATTCATAATACTCCCAAACTGAAAACAACCTAATTGTCCATCAACTAGTGAATAAACAAACAATTTGTGGTATTCCACAGAACACCACTTAGCAATAAAAGGAAATCAATAATGCACGAAATATCAGGATAAATTTAAAAATAAAAGAAGATGAACACCAAAGAGTATATATTCTATCATTTCATTTTTATAAAATTCTAGAAAAGGCAACTCTAATCTACAGGTACAGAAAGTAGATTAGTGGTTTTCTTGGAGCTGGGGATGTTTGTGGGCAGGGAGTGGGGGTGAATGAAAAGGGGCACAAGAGAACTTTCTGGAGTGAAGAAAATGTTCCATATCTTGACTGTGGTGCTGGTCAGCTACATGAGTACCTAAGTTTGCCAAAGTCATCAAACTTAAAAATAGATGTATTTTATTATATGCAAATTATAGCTCACTGAAATTAATTTTAAAAAATCAGACAGACTCTCTATAGGATTTAAACTAAAGATGAGAAAACAGAATGCCTTCAGCTAGCAAAAGGAGAAGGGAGCAGTGGCTCAGAATAGTTGCTACTGCTGAGGGAGAAGTCAGCCACTATGTGGCCTCAGATTTTTTGGCATGCTACTTCCACACCACACAGAGCACAACAATAAGTCTTCCTTTATTTTAAGATGGTGCCCTGAGAAAACCTTAGTTTCTTACAACTAAAGGAAACTAACAAATCAAATGGCTACTTAAAGTTTTTGAATTTCTATTTTGGTTCATCCAATAGTGCCTGGCACATAGTAAATGCTAAGTAAACATGTTATCAATCATACACCTTGTTGATCTGAATTAATTTTTTACACAAAAAATCAGTTGTATTCCAAGAATTAAATAATTGTATTTAAAAATAATTTTTAAAACACTGTAAATAAAGGCCCTTTTATAAAATATGTAATAAGACACTGTAAAAACAAATCTAGAAAATAAATCAGTATGGCAACACAAATATAAGAGTATCAGTGGAGATAAGCCATTTATTTTAAAGGCGTCTACAATTTACAGTCATATTACAAGAAACTAGCTTTGCTAATGGATACATAAATTCTTTTTGTCTGATTTTTTTGATAGAACACAGTGAAAACGACTTAGAGAAAATAGCAGCCATAGATATGGCTAAAATGTGAATGAAGCTGGAGGCAGGGGAGGACCACACACCATGAAATGTAAACAGAGGAGAAAAAAAGCTAGATGCCAGACAAGAAGAGAAGAACCAGGAGAGCAGTCTTCACAAACAGAGGTAAATGTAACTAAGGCTGAAATAAGAAATCTGATAGTTTTTAAAGGAAAAAAAAATCAGAGTAATCAATTATTCCTTAGCATGCACAAATGTTCTGCAGAACAGGTAAATTTAACTTCTCAGGGTTTGTTTTTGAACTATTCTCAACCTTATGGAATCCTGCCTTCCATAATTGGTGATTTACATCAGGGCACTTCTCTACAAAAGAAAGAATTTTTTTTCTCAAATAATTGGATTAGGTCTACCACCACTAATTAAAACAGTGAATATATCATCTCTCAGCAGTCTCTTACATTGTTAGACAAACAACAACTATGTTTGACTGGCATGGAAAAATTAGCTTAATGGAGTTAGAAGATAAGACAGGTTTTTAGAGGAGAGAGCAAATTATTCTGTACATGTAAGACGATTTTGTTTTATAGTTCTAAATTTCAAAAGAGTATTAATCAAAGTTTTATAATGGTTACATAGACTTATTTTGATTTTGGCATTTATTCACAAAGAGTTCTTTCTTATTATATTATGAGATGAAGCAAACTTAAAAATAATCAAAATAACTGACTTCTAAAGTAAGGAACAAATACATTTATGGTTAAAACATACACACACCCTTAACCAATTTCCTTCTTATAATACCTGGATAAAGAAGGCTAAGTCATCTTCAATTTACTGAAATTATTTACTTGGTACTCTTATTAACACTACTGGGCATTAGTTTCAACAATAAAGACAAAAAATTAGAATTAAATATTTACAACTCTGTCCTACAATTTAAACATGTGTTTAAATTTATAAAATTAGATTACAATAAAAGCAGTACTATCTAAATATGTAAAAACACAACAGAAGACAAATTGATAAAAAAATAAGTATTTTAAAAATTTCTAATATGTGATTCAATACAAGAATATATTAAAATTTAAAGGAAAAACATTCATTAATTCACTTAATTAATGAATACTTACTATATACAAAGCCTTACACTAGATCTTGTAATGAATAAAAAGTAATATAAAAAATATTTCCTGTTCTTACGGATCTTAAAATTATAATGGAAATGAAACTTCATATATAATGCAACATAATAGATACACATAATATGTATATTTTATACATAATACACATAATATGTATGTGTAATACACATAATATATATATTTAATAAAGGCAGCATATGATAAAGTGTCATAAAAGTGATATAAATTGAACAAGGATCTCTAGCATGTGATCAGCGAATGCTTCATGCAGGAAATGATTTGAGTTGAATGATGAAAGGTAGGGTGGAGGATGTGATGGGATTCCATGTTAATATGAAATATCATATACAAAAATAAGGAACTGAGAAACAGTAAGAAAGAAAGTATTCTCAAAATTTCTCATGAACACATATTCCTAGGGGCTGGAAGCATAGCCCAAAGCTCAAGATTTCTATGAAAACCCATTTTTATCTTAAAAATAAAAAATACAAAATTTATGTTTTACTCCCATTACATATCTGTGCTTGTTTTAATATAAAAATGTAACATTTTTCCTCTCTAAATTTTTCAGGAAAACTAATACTCCAAGAAGATGGGCCATGATTACCCCATGTGTGCTCCCAAAAGAAACCCAGTAAGAAGCAATAGCATGGCATAAAGGAAACTATAGGTGGGAGACACGCCTGAAATGGAAGTCTGGCTTCCAGAGTAGAAGGTCTTTAACTAGCCAGGTTGAGCTGTTAAAACCTTATTCAGAAAACAGTGGGGAACCACGAAAAATATTTTTTAAATTGGGGAATGACATTTAGATTTCTTCAGCGAAATTAGTCTGGCAGAAACATAGAGGATGCATTCATCTATTCAGCAAATATTTTTCCCTTATGGAGCTTACATTCCAGTATGGGGAAGTAAACAGTAAATAAGCTGAAAGACGTAATTAGACCACTTGGGAAGAGATCACAAACAGGGGAAGAGTCATTGTAAAGAAAAGGAGGGAATGATCAAGAACATCAGAAGAATTCTGATAATGCCTAGGTTACTGAGAAGATAGCAGAACTATTAATAAAAACAGAAATAAGGAGTTAAGAGAATGGCTCTATGAAGGAGAAATGGCAAAAAATGGGTTGTTTTAGATTTGCAGACTTGGAGGTGCCCACCACTAGGCTTCAGAAGGTCAGGTCTAGAAATACAGACTTGGCAACTGCCTGCAGGCAGGTCTCAGTGGAAGCCACATGAGGGAAAAGAAAAGTAGAGGGAGCAAAGGGCAGAAGACAGAGAAATGTCCACAAGAGTAGGGAGGAAAAAAAAAAAAAGTCAGAGGAGAAAGAATCTAAGAGAAATATTTTTAAAGACCTAGGTAATGAGGGGTAATGGGAAGACTTTGCAAACGAGATGTCAATATGTTTGTGCATTTCTTTTTCCTCTCCTTACCTGCTCATTCTTTTTCTGAACCCATTCCTTATGCTTTTCTTCAGCAATTATCTTTCTTTTTTCACGTTCTTCCATTTCTTTTCTCTTTTCTAGTTGTTGATTTAATTCCTATGGATTTTATTTAAACAAAAGGCAACATTTAATGGAAGTACCCAAATCACATATTTCAAAAAAGGCTGAGGTTAACCAAATTAAACAAGAATATAGTTTCCTGTAGAGGTCATATACCACTAGTGACAATAACTTACTTAAGTAACTAGTCTATGATGAAAGAAAGCATTGGTAAGAAGCATAAGTCATTTTTTAGAAATGTACAAGTAATTGCTTGGCAGCAAAACACTAGTTTCTTAGACTAAACTGCAGCTAAATTACCCTCATTGAAATCAACTTTCCCACACATAAATTTTGGCATCACTGTAAGCTATTGGCAGAAGCTCAAGAGAATTGCAACTTTTTTTACAGTTATAAAAAGCTTCCAGATTCTTAATGAAGATAAAGGATAGGAATTAAATAATCCCTAAATTAAAAATTTAATTCAGAGTTACACCAAAGAAGAAATGTAAAGAAGCCGTTCAATTTTCCTTAGGGAAAAAAAGAATCCAGAGTTTTTTACTGATTTTATAGCTGCTGGAGTATAAAACAAAACCACATTCATATCCCAGATTATTTAACAGCCTTGCTGTCACTCGAATCTACACGTTTGGGCATTTCCTCAGGAGAAAGAATGTGGAAGGTATGGCCAAATAAAACTACAAGCTGAACGCTACCACTCTGTCATTCATCAGTTAAATTAATGCATTATTTGAGAATGCTGTTCAAACCAGACTTTGCTAGGACTCTACAACCACAATTGCTGGTTATTTTTTTTTCTCTCTTTAGATACTAATAATCAGATACCTATCTTCTTCCATTGGTCCTCACTCCTCCTCCCCATCCCTCTTTCCCAAAGATCTACCTACCTAGACATGGGTGTATGTGGGAAAGACCATTTTCCAGCTCTCAGACCAAAATTCAAGTGTTTTAAATGAAAATAAAACTTGACAACAAGAACATGTATTTTGCACTTTAGAATGACTGGTCGCCGGCTATCTGTCTTCCACAACCTCTCATCCTAAATTTCTGCTGCATAAAAAATAGCTGCCCTCACTCTCAGAAAGTCTTCCAACTTTTAAACACTATACCCCCAAAAGCAAATATCCATTTTGGTTTCAAAGATTCTTCACTACCTCTGCAGCTGTTATTCCTTGATTACTGATTCAATACACTTTTAGGGTATACCTACCACAGAGCTAGCAAGAACTGAGATATAAATATGAAATCCCAGAAATCTCTGATCTAACCTGATCCCCTATTACACCAAGGAATTAAGTGTTACATTGTACATTATTGCATATGTTCAGAGAAGGAAAGGGAAGAGAAGACCAGGAAGAAATAGTGTGGACCACAGTAGTTAGAAATGAGCACCAGATAAGGAACAGTAAGGACAAATTTGGACAAATTATGGTTGGCAAATTTTAGTTAATGTTGATGAAAGAAGGGTCAAAAATTATCTAGAAAATGCTATCACTGACCAAAATAGTGCTCTTATCTCAGGATGTCTATTCAAGTAATTTGCCAACCCAGAATATACATCATATTCTGAGATAGAACTCTCCCTTCCAAGGCTGGCTCTTCTTAGAATTTCCTACCCTGAATGACTCAGCTGTTTACCACCAAGGCAATCCTCTTCCTGGACACAGCTGGAGTATTCTCTCGAAAAGGCCCCTATGTGGTCTTTTGAATTTCATCATTGAATTTCAATAGGATTATACCAATTTTCCCATAAACACTTGATTATGGAAAATCAAAATCCAAAGAGGATCCTAAACACACATTTCTATTTCAATAGGTTTTGACTACTTTCAAAGAATATTTTATCACTGAAGGTAACAATCAGAAAAACTAACAATTTTGAGTTTCACCAACTCTACGTCCTGCCCTATTAGTAGTTCATTAAAGGCCAATGAATGAAATCCCCAAAGGTAGAATGGTGAAAAAAACAAAAGGCACTAGGACTATTCACAAACTAGATAACTTTTATAATTTAGAATAGATTATATTAAAATGTTAAAGCAAATGTTAAAAATTAGAATTGGATCATATAGAATTTAAGGCAGTTGGCTAATGAATTATTTCAAATAATAAAAAGATAAATAAAATTTAAAAGACTTACAACACCAATATGCTAGTTTTTCATAATATTAACGTTCAATGTTTACCATATTTATCATTTCAATAATAGTTATAAATGTTTAAAATTTTGTAAGTGGGTAATTTTAATGGGTTAGAATAATTTTTCAATTCAGTCCCACAAAGATGTCTGAGACAAATCTAAATGTCTATTGCTGAAATCAAATTTATGAGTGGGGATGATCTTTTTAATGATCCAACTAGCCTATAACTTTTCCTTTAAATTTTAAAGGAAGAAAATTAAAAAGTCAGAGTAAATTAAAAATTAAATACTAAGTCTGATACATTTGTATATATCTGATATAAAAATATATTTCTAAAATACATCTTGATATTGTGGGAAAAGCACTTGAATTAGAAATCAAAAGAACTAGGTTCCAGTTCCAGTTCTGCCACTGACTGAAATCTTGGCAAAGTTACTTCTCTGGCCTTCATGCTTTTTTAGCTTTAATAGGGATCTGAGATGAACTATTCCTTATGGTTAAAAATTTGTACTTTTAATGATATGGTTTGTAAACAAATTAGAGAATACAGTAAATGAGGACAGAAAAATTAGGAAAGCATGACTTAGAAAATAAAACAAAAGGAAAGGCAAGAAAAGAACGTGAATACCATAACAGCTCAAAATCAGCTTATAGTAAGTTGAGTAGTTGGTGTTTACGAGTAACGTAAAAAACAGATTTCTCACTTATAAATGAATATTTTAAAAATCTACTGTACTAAATAATGGAATTAGTAAAGTTAAAACTTGAGGTTGAGGTCTGAGGTCTCGAAAATACATACTAGTTCTGAAAATAAATGAAAGAGCTTTAACAAGGCTATGAATGGGAATGACATAAATAATACCAATAAAAACAAAGACAGCTAACTTTATACTTTGTTTCATTTAATCCTTACACAAATGTGACATAGGTATTATTTTATCCTTCTTGTGCAAATGAGAAAATTGGAAATATAAAATTTTAAATAACTTGCCTAAGATGGCCCAGCAAGTAAAAAGGCTGGAACTAGGGCTTTTATTAAGCCTGCCAGACTACCAAACCATAAGGTCTTTCTTAAGCCACGTGCTCTGCTAACAAGAAATAAGAATGTCAGCCTCGCAGTGCATTTTCTAGGAATAAATCTGTATTCTAGAGTACAAAGTATCATGCAATAAGGAAACAGCAAAATGTACTGATTTGCACAATCATTTGAATCATGCCAAGCCTTCTGAACATGTGACTGCATACCTGGTTAGAAAAACATCAGAGAAATAACTAGTTTCAAAACTGATATGGAAAATTTATTCTAAGACAGATCATGAAGGGCAAAACTTTAGTTTTCAGGATTTTTATAGCAACACAATTATGAAGACTAGAATAAACTGAAATAGCAAACAATAGTGAGCCAGTTAACTACATTTTAACATATATTTAATAGATCTTAAATATACTTTAATAATATTAGACAAGCATTTTTAAAAGAAGTTATGAGAAACAGGGTCTCATTGTCGCCAAGTCTGGAGTGCAATGGTGTGATGACAACTCACTGTAACCCTGAACTCCTGGGCATCAAGTGGTTTTCCTACCTCAGCCTCCCGAGTGGCTGGGATTATAGATGTGCATCACCACACCCAGCTAAGATTTTTATTTTTTGTAGAGATAGGGTCTCGCTATGTTGCCCAGGCTGGTGTCAAATTCCCGATCTCAAGCAATCCTCTAGCCTCAGCTCCCAAAGTGCTGGGATTACAAGCATGAGCCAATGTACCCTGACTATAAAAATATTTAATGACAAAGAAATATATTAATAATGTAACAGGCAGGAAAAAAGCAGGTTACAAAAGAGTTTCATGCTATTTAATTAGAAACAAGAAGAATCCCTCACTATTCAAATCTATTTGATTTCTGGTTTGGATAAGAATAATTCACCTCCTTCGTTAAAATATATTCCTAAATATTTAATTTTCTTTGATCCTATCGTGAACGGTGTTGCATCTTTGATAGGAAATGATGATAAAAGAAACTGTAGAAGATGGAAACAGATGGAAAACCCTACCATGCTCATGGATTGGAAGAATCAATATTGTTAAAAATGTCCATACCACCCTAAAGTGACCTACAGAGTTAATGCAACCCCTATCAAAATACCATCAGCCTTCCTTACAGATCTAGAAAAAATAATTCTATGTTTCGTATGGAACCAGAGAAGACCTCGGATAGCCAAAGCAATCTTAAGCAGAAAGAACAAATTGGGAGGCATCAGTCTACCAGACTTCAAGCTTTACTATAAAACTATAGTAACTAAAGGCCAGGCGCGATGGCTCATGCCTGTAATCATAGCTCTCTGGGAGGCTGAGGCGAGAGGATTGCTCAAGGTCAGGAGTCCGAAACCAATCTGGGCAAGAGCGAGACCCTGTCTCTACTAAAAATAGAAAGAAATTAATAGGCCAACTAAAATATATAGAAAAAAAAATTAGCCAGGCATGGTGGCGCATGCCTGTAGTCCCAGCTACTTGGGAGGCTGAAGCAAAAGGATTGCTTGAGCCCAGGAGTTTGAGGTTGCTGTGAGCTAGGCTGATGCCACAGCACTCTAGCCTGGGCAACAGAGTGAGAATCTGCCTCAAAAACAAACAAACAAACAAAAAAAACTATAGTAACCAAAACAGCATCGTACTGAGACAAGAAGAGAGACATAGACCTTTGGAATAAGACTGAAAACCCAAATATAAAAAATCCTCAGATTGCCATACTTGACAAAGCAGACAAAAATATACATTGGGGAAAAGAATCTCTATTCAATAAATGGTGCTGGGAAAACTGGATAACTGCATGCAGAAAACTGAAACGGGATCCCACCTCTCACCTCTCACAAAAATCAACTCACCATGGATAACAGACTTAAAGCTAAGGCATGAAATCTTAAGAATTCTGGAACAAAATGTTGGGAAAACTCTTACAGACATCAGCTTAGGCAAAGAATTTATGAAGAAGACACCCAAAGCAATCATAGCAGCAATAAAAATAAACAAATGGGACCTGATTAAAAAGCTTCTGCACAGCCAAGGAAACTATCATTAGAGCGAATATGCAACCTACAGAATGGGAGAAAATATTTGGATGCTACTCATCCCATTAAGGGCTGATAACAAGAATCTATATAGAACTTAAGAAAATTAACAACAAAAAAATCAAACAACCCCATCAATAAATGGGCAAAGGACAGGAACTAAAACTTTTCAAAAGAAGACAGAATAAAGGCCAGCAAACATATGAAAAAGTGCTCAACATCTCTTAATCATCAGGGAAATGCAAATCAAAACCACGATGAGATATTACCTAACTCCAGTAAGAATGGCCTTTATCAAAAAGTCCCAAAACAACAAATGCTGGTGTGGATGTGGAGAGACTGGAACATTCTTACACTGCTGGTGGGACTGCAAATTAGTACAGCCCCTGTGGAAAGTAATTTGGAGATATCTCAAAGAGCTAAAAACAGAAATACCATTTGATCCAGCAATCCCACTACTAGGCATCTACCCAAAGGAAAAAAAGACATTTTATAATAAAGATATCTGCACTCGAATGTTTATAGCAGCACAATTCACAACTGCAAACACGTGGAAACAACCCAAGTATCCATCAACACATGAGTGGGTTAATAAAATGTTGTATATGTATACCATGGAATACTACTCAAAAAAACAATGGTGAACTAGCACCTCTGATGTTATCCTGGATAGAGGTTGATGTTATCCTGGATAGAGGTTGATGTTATCCTGGATAGAGGTTGATGTTATCCTGGATAGAGGTTGAGCCCATACTGCAAAGTGAGATATCACAAGAATGGAAAAACCAGCACCACATGCACTTGCCATGAAATTGGTACTAAGCAACACTAAGGTGCTAACATGGCAGTAATATTCACTGGGTGCCGGTCAGGTGGGAGGCAGGTGGCGGGGGTAGGTAAACTCACAACTAATGGATGCAGAGCAAGCTATGTGGGGGACAGGTAAGCTTGTAGCCCTGGCTTGGGAGAGGCCAAGGCATTATATGTAATCAAAATGTTTGTACCTCTACAATAGTCTGAAATTAAAAAAAAAAAAAAGAATTCAGATAGTGAGTTTGAAGGATACCAAATTATCTAAATTTATTTGGTTGCTAAGTTCTGAATAGCAAATAGGAAGAGTTCAAAGAATGAGGGATTCATTTGAAAATACATCTAAAACTATTTGTCTTTTGAGTTTGTACAGCAAAAGTTCAAAAAGAGAATCGCACACATGGAAATGTCCATACGTAAGAAAGGGAGGCACAGAGAAACTGACCTAAAAGAGCAGCAGATTCCCATTGTCACCACCTACTCCAGGGAACATTCTCTTTGAGTGATATAAGATGGTAGACTCCTGCTCTACTTTAATTTTTGTTAAAAAATTAAAAATTTTACTGTGTATGTGTATACAGTTGAATTTGCCTTAATTATATGTACATATGCTACAGCTCCATTGTATATATACATTTGTACATTTTAATTTTTAAATAATTTAGATAGAAGAAAATCTGGAAAGCTACATGCCATAATATTAACATTGGTTATCTTCTGATGGTGAAATTAGAAATTTTAATTTTCTTAATAAACTTAGCTGTATTTTCTGCATGCTCTTAGAATGAACATATATTATTTCTATTAATAAGAGTTACTAAATTTGATATAGCAAACCAACACAAACAAATGCAAAAAAAACTGTTTTCAGGGATAATAACACTAACATTTTAATTTACAACAGCAGCTCTACTTTGTGAGCTCAAGGATTAAATAAAAAGAACACTGTGTAGTTTTACCTCTAGAGCTTTCTGTTGCAGCCGGTCACGTTCTTCTTTTTCTTTGCCAACAAACCACACCTCCCATGGTGTCAGACTGCTTTCTGGTAGGCGCACCTGCTTCTGTTCTTCTTGGATATCTTCTGATTCAACCTCACTGCTACAAAATAGAGGCTACTATGACACTTGTACACAAAGCTCTTTTCCTTACCAGTCAAAAGCACTTAACTGTACAGTGAAAGCAAAATTTAACAATGTACATACAATATAGTGATTCTTACAAATATATATAAATTATGTATACCTATGAAAGATCATGAAAAGGAATTACAATATCTGAATTAGTTTATCCATCAAACTGCCTCTGAATTCCTTCATCTTCTAAACGCACATTATTAAAAGCCCATTGGGATAACCCACACTCAATCCATTTGCCTCAATGCCAAGCCAACAATTTTTTATTCCTAAAAATCTTATCTGGACAACTAATTACTAATTACAACACATAATCCTAATCAGATCCTGGAGCAGACATTTCCCTTTCCCTCCATTAAATAGTTTAGGAACAAATGTATATACACAGAGAGAATAATGAAGTAAATGTGTTACAATTAGGGACTATGGGTGAAGGGGGAACAGTTGTTCTTCATGTTCTCTTTTCAACTTTTCTTTCTGTAAATTTGAAATTTTTCAGAAACAAAAAGCCACTAAAAAAATATAGCTCTTCTCTTCTTTAGCATTTAGGTTGATTCCCTTTTGCCAATCTTTAGGGTATATACAACTCTCCAGTCTGGTTACTCCTACCACAGTCTCCATCTGAGGCAGGTGAAGGATGGAGAAAATCCCATGCAGCTCTAGCTCCACAGAGGATTACTCGCAGCCCAGAACAATGGCTGGGCTATATTACTCAGGCTGCCTGCTCTCCTCCTCCTATGACCTCTAAGCTGTCCAGGACACCAACTAAAGGTCAAAAATAGGGAAGAGGAATGAGGAAATTTTCTAAAAATTTATTTTTTCTGACAGGAAGTGCTAAGTTTTTTGAAGTTTGAATATAATCACTCTATCTGTTCTCTAGGAAGTGGGAAATAAGCATTCATACAGCACACATTTATTGAGTACCTCATAAGCTGATACTTGCCACACACAAGGCCTGCTAACTCCTACATTCTCTTTCCAAACTCATATCCTAGCTATTCCTTTGATTCATAGGGACTGAAATGTGGTAATGAAGGCAGCCTTAGGTGTCACCAGCTCATTCAGGCTTTGGATAAGTGAGATACAGATGTCTGGCTCCTCCCCTGGCAGGCTCCATTTGGTTAGGGCTTTGGATCTTGGAAGCTAATGCAAGGTCTCAGTAGCTGAGCTGTAGCTTTGATGGCCATTTATTTATTCCTCAGGCTACTAACCTACATCCACACTGCTTAGTCCTGTTGATTATGCTTAGAAGGTATTTCTCAAAGCCTTGAAATTTATTTTAAATACCTTTCAGACCAACTCAATCCTGAAGAATCCCAACAAAGGCCCAGATGAAAATGGACTACTAAAACCGTAACTCTACCATTAAATTCTACTATCAGGTTGATGAGAGAAGGCCCGTTTTTGTTGCTACAACCAGTGTGGACAAGTGGCTTGGTTGGTTTCCTCTTTCTGATCTTCATTCTCACTAATGTACTTACTTTTACTTCTCATACTTAATAGACTCACTCTCGTAACCAGGTATATGGGTCACTTTATATAGTTCCATATTCCATTCACTCACTATGGGAAAGAGTGCCTTATACTGAAGGGGGCTGTTTTGCTACTTACACATAAAATATGGGGTCTCTGGCTTGTATTCTTAGCACTATCCCTTATACAGCTTGGCAATCAGAAACTTGTAAATGCTTTCTGAAGAAAATGTATAAGTCTATCCCAGAATGGACCTGCATTACTAGGCCTATCTCAAGAGGTATTCATGCAGGGATAGGCCTTTTGCTCATATTTCTATATACTCAATACTAGGCATGTAGAACCTGATGCACACATCTCTGTGCTAGGCCCAGGTCTGCTAATAACTAGGTACATGCCTTAGAGTCAGACTTTTCTGAGCCATGGTTTTGTTATCTGTAAAAGAAGTAGATTGATCTAGGCTTTCATTCCATGAGAGCAGAGACCATATCTATCTTGTTATTGGTCCCCAGTACTGAGACTAATATGTGGCACAAAATAAACGTTTGCTAAGTGAATATAGAAATAAATATATTAAGATGGTTTTAATGACATCTATTCCACTCTAAGTTCGTTCTCTGATCATACCCAATATTGTCTTTGCATGCTGAGGTTAAGGTTGCTAACCTCTGTGCTTCAGCTCTTTATGACATAAAGTGATGTGCTTACTACAAACGACTTCACTAACAATCTGTAGATTTTTTTCAAAATAGCTACAGATACTACTAAGGTGCAGTAAACCACATTTTAGTGTTAACGTTTTGGACAAGGGTTCTGGAGTCGACAATCTGGCTTTTAAGGATTCATCAAGCTTCTGAAATAGTAGCAAAGTTTTGTGTATTGGGGACTACGTGAGTTTTCCTGGGAAGTGAGATTGTAGCAACCATCACATCTCAAGAAAAGGATTAAGAGTCATAGAAAAACTGCTGTCATTTGTAAGAATTTGCCCAGACTCTTCATGTGCAAAAAAGGCGCCTTGGGATGCAGGTGCCTGCGCAGTCTTTGAGATGCAAGACAGGATAGTGTTTGGCCCGCAGAAGAAGGTGCTTAGAAGGGCCTAAGAAATGTTGAAAAGGGTTGTATCGGCCCGGCGGCCTCGGTTTACCTGGCGCACCCCTGTAACTCCATTCTTCTCAGGCTTGCCACCTTGACCTCTGAGTCACAGGCATCTTCGTCCACGTCTTCCCCATCCTCCTCGCCCCCATAGTCCTTGTCAAAAGGGAAGCTCTGGTGGCCGAGGGGAGACAACAATGACATGGTGGAATTGCTGCAGCTGAGCGGCGGCGGCGAGCATACCACCTCCTGCCCTTCCCCCCGGGCGCCTGTCATGAGGACGGAGAAGGAGCGCGAAGAGGGCCGAGACCTGGGTCTGCAGTCGGCGGAGAACCAGGTGTAGGGAGAGAGAGAAGTAGCCCTCCACCGCCCCGCCGCCCACATCGGGCCCGCCAAGTTCAAACTGGCGGAGCCGCGGCGGGGACGCGCTCTCCCAGCAGACCCCGCGCGCACCGAGCTTGGCCAATACGGGCCTGCCCAGACTCCGCGTTGCCGTGGCGACGCGTGGACGCCGCGAGAGGGCTTTGTCTGGGCCTGCGCGGCGTGGCTTCCTCAGTCCAGGCCTCCCTTGGTCGGGCCTTCTTCGTCTCTAGGAGGCATTTATCTGCTGCGGGTGAGTTTGTTTCATTCCGCACCACCCTTTGCCACGGGCGAGGTCCTGGCTCCTTGCTAACAACTTTAAGCGCCTGTCCTTTGTTTGCTGTGGTGTCGCAGCTCATTTGGTCCATGAAATGCTACCTATCACTGAGTAAGGCAGATGCTTCTCAAGGGTAAGAGGCAGAAGCCAAAACTACCCCCCCCCCACACACACACCTCCCCGTAATGACAAGGTCAGGATTATAAGCATCAGTCGTGATTCCTTTCAGCACAAGTTGAGCAAAGGGGGCGGGAGGGGCGGACTTTATACAAGTTTACAAGTGTATCCAAGAGTGCACCTTTGGGACAGTCTTTCAGCATTTTTGTTGCATTCTGTTTGCGCGGCATCTTAAGGGAACTAATTTACCTATACATGTGAATTTTTAACCTCTTTGAAGCCGCTAGTGTATGCTAGGGCCTGCACAAAGTACTGGGGATCCATGAAAGTCCTGCCCTTACCTCAAGTTCTTCATCCTTTTATGGTGAAGAATCAATCATCCCACTAAAATATGCTGTGATTTGCATTTTATGAGGAAAGAAACAATTGTGTGTGACCTTAGGGGCACTTTTCTCTTAGGGAATGATGATAAAAGTAGCAAGGGAGAGGTGATATAGACAACTAAGCTGAGTATTTTATTCATGCTGACAAAACTGTCTACACTTGTAAATAAATATGTCTTCTGTTAAAGTCATAATGTATTAACCTTAATGTATTAAATATATTGCTGGTAGAACTATCACGAAGTGAAAACTGACAGTGGCTAAAACAACACACAAAATTTGTTACTGACCAAAGTGTGATCCAAAATTTTTGATGAAATTTAGATCTGCAAAATTTGACACAGGAGAATTAGATATGGTAGCAATAATAGCAACCTAAGACAATTCAGAAGGCAAAAGCTATAATAAAACATGACATGGTTAAAACTATTTAAATGGAATATTTTGTTAAAAATTTCCATAAAAACAAAATGAAAATGGAAGAAAACTGGAGCAATCCCTGACTGAGTGATAATATTGATCACAGAATAAAACTAACTTAATGGAGTTTTCATTCTCTATCCCAAATATTCAATATTGGCATATCTGGTTAAAACCTTTTATCAGAACATCACTAGTATCAATAACAACATCAAAAGGCCCCGAGCTGCCTTCGGTCTTCATGAAGAGGTAAGCTTGCAATAGACATAACATAAAACCTGATATAACTGAAGTGTAGTGGAAAACACACAAGTTTTAGTATGAAAGGGACGTGGATTTGAATCAATGGTTTTCCTGATACTAATTTTCCTAATTTACTCCTCTGTAAAATAAAAAATCTATCTAACCACATCTTATTATCTTATTAATCCTCAAAGCTCAGGACCCAACAGATACAATGGTAAATTTTGTGTAAATTCCAAAAATTTTCCATTTTAATCTCTTGATAAGGGAATCTGAAATGGGATATGCTTCTCTGCCTCAAGATGTTTTACTAAACAGCTGGGCAGGGTGGCTCATGCCTGGAATCCTAGTCCTCTGGTAGACTGAGGGAGGAAGATTGCTTGAGCTCAGGAGTTTGAGGCCAGCCTGAGCAAGAGTGAGACTGGTCTCTACTGAAAGTAAAAAAAATAGCCGGGGCGAGGTGGCTCACGCCTGTAGTCCCAGCTACTGGGGAGGCTTGAAGCAGGAGGATCACTTGAGCCTAGGTGTTTGAGGTTGCAGTGAACTATGATGATACCACTGTACTCCATGCAGGGCAACAGGGCAAGACTCCTGTCTCAAGAAAAAAAAAGTTTTACTAAACAAAGTATGCCCTTTCCTTGATGCTTCAGGATCATCATTATGACCAAACTATTGAATTATGCTCTAGCAACACTGGACCCTCTCAAAGGCTAGGAGACAAAAAGTCATATAGCACTTGCGCTAGTGTTTGAACATAATCAAGTCCTGTGGTCTCATTTCTTATAGTGCCTTTTCATTACTGGGGCTGAGAAGCCATAATCAAGGTGGGTAGAATTCTATATTAATATAAATGTACACATAAGCTCCAAAGAAGGTCTCTCCCCTTAAGTTTTAGGGTGTTGGCTCAGTAACATTTTCTAATTTATTTTCACTTTTTCATGGTATATTTGAGATAATTATACAAGGATACAAAGCCAGCAAAAAATAAGTGAAGAGTTACTTTAGCTTAAAAATCTATAACTGTTACAAAAATAATGCCATTACCATTTAGCCCTGTTGTAATATAGTATGCAACTTTAAAAATTTATCCCTAGACTTGAAGTACTTACAGATGAACCAACATGTCTTAGATCTGTTTCAAGATAATCCAAGAGACAAAGGAAGTGGAGGGGGTTAGTGAATGGGGTGAAAATGAAACAAAATTCACCATGTGCTGTGGATAATCTTCAAAGCAGTGATGGGTATGGGGTGAAGGGTGGGGAGGTGGTATATTTATACTACTCTTTGTTACGGAAATTTCATACATATATATAATAAAGTTTAAAACAAACACACCCAAAAAACTCTGTCCAGAATTAAAAGGAGTTGGGTTCTGGTTTAGAGTCTAATTTGCTGTGACTCAGGGTTTCATTAAGCCCTTTGTTTCTCATCTACAAAATGAGGATTTTATGGTTATAAAGATGGAGGTATTTCTAAGCAACTGAGCAATTGACTACATTTAATATCATGCAGATTTTTAATCATTTGCTTTTAAATATTTAATTGATGGTATTCTCCTAAAATCTACAATTTGTTTTCTATGGTTAAGACTTAGGATAAAACTTTCCAAATTTCAGCAAAGAGTTCTTAAATATTTATAGTTAAATATCAAAATAGTATTTCTTTTCTTTTTTTTTTTTTGAGACAGTCTCTCACTCTGTCACCTAGGCTAGAATGCCATGGCATCAGCCTAGCTCACAGCAACCTCAAATGCCTGGACTCAAGCGATCCTCTTGCTTTACCCTGGCAAGTAGCTGGGACTACAGGCATGCACCACCACATCCAGCTAATTTTTTTCTATAGTTAGTAGAGATGGCGTCTCACTCTTGCTCAGGCTGGTCTCAAACTCCTGACCACAAGCAATCATCCCAGAGTGCTGGGATGACTTACAGGTGTGAGCCACTGTGCCCAGCCCCAAATAGTATTTTCTAATGGTTACTTCCAACATTTCTTCTACTGTTCTCCACTTAAAAAATATTTGATTTGCTTACTTTAACACTAAGTAAATTCATTAATATACCTAATTATAAATTAAGGCAAAATAGATTGTTTTCTAGAAACTTTAATAATTCAAAACACTGAGTACAATATTGTATTTCATACCATATATAGTACAGTTTAACATATTTCATATATCTGGCTATTCTATTTTTTAAATGAATAAAAGAAAAAATTTTCAGTAACTTGAATTTTGGGAAAAAAACCTTTTAATTAGGAGTTTCTTACCAAGTTATGATTTCATGTTTATCAGATATGTAAATATACAAATAACAATTTTTAAAACTTGTAAATAGTTGGCCTTACAAAATTACAACACACTGTAAATAAATCCTTCCCACATTTTATACAAACTACGTGATTTTGATATACAAAGATTCTGCTTTTATTACACTGACAATGTACAACCAAGACTATATACAATGCAAAAAAGTATATAAACCACAATTTAACATTCTGCTACTGGCAGCCACTATAGTTTAGGAGGTAGCTTTAATTAAACGAAATGAACAGAAGCCACATTTCCCAACTTGTGTTCTAAAATAATTTACATAAGATAAAAATTCATTATATGCACAGTATGTACAGTTTAATTATTAAACTGCAATCTAGCTTAATGTTTTTTAGTGTATCCAGAATAACTAATATGGCAGTGGGTTTGCTATTGATTTAGCACATTGTTCAAAAAAGATACTGAACAAGTGTAACTTTAAGATTCCATATAGTAATATGTCAAAAGTCCATAGATAAGAACCAAGTAAAATTTTTAACTTCTAAAGGCATAGGACTAAGCTTTATTCCTTTTTTTCCCCCTCTTAATAACATGTTTATCTTATCAACCATAGCTCAGCATCTGAGCTATTGAATAGGCTCTTTTTTAAATCATAGTATGGGAAAACATGGAAGTTTCCTTGTAATAGCACAGAGTCAGGAAGATCCAGCTCACTAAGAACTAAATGTATTAATATGTGCTTTGTGTCATAATTATGCCCGGTTTCTTCCAAGTAAATGCAATTATTGTTCATAGTTTACTTTCTATATAATCCAAACTATAAATAGCTGACATACTAACATAATTGGAAAATATCAGTAGAGCCAATGACATTAGGAAGTGTTTATTAACAGGAACATTACACGGAGCCATCAGATCCCTCAGATACTGTTAAAACCCCATATTATTATAGTTAGTAGTTTAGCCAAATCTACTAAACTCACAAAGCAATTAGCCCTTTACTTTTACCTAGTAGTGTGATCGAAAAAAATACTGAGGAAAAAATTACTGATTGCACCAAAGCAATGTATAATGACTGAAAATAAATGTTCAGCTTTATTTTAAAAAATCTAACAGCTGTTAATATTGTTTTAAAAACATCTTTAGGTTTTAATTTTTTAAATCACTTAAAATTTATGATGCTCTTATGTCAAAGATGGAAATAGAAAACACAATAAGGTAATGTATATGTATACTCTCACAGTTCTAGCTGGGAGACAATCCCTTTTTTGGCCCTGCAGTAAATTGTCCTGAGATTAATGATGAAACATTAGGTAAAATTAGCAAGAATTCTTCTTCAGTTATAGAAAATCACATTGTAAAATATTTTTTAAAAAATATTAACAGCTGTTCTTTGTCTTGTGCTTAATTCAAAAAT